GGGGAATAGCTTGAGGCTCCGTCTCAGGAAAAAAGAAAAAAAAAATAGGATTATAAGCACTTAGAGTGTTTAATCTTAAGGCAAAACTGGTAGATACTGTATCTGTCTATGATCTATAGTAACTTACTCCTTACTAAGTAAAAGACTTTGGCGGTGAGGGGGGTGCAGGTTGTGCAGAGGGCGATGGACCACTCTCCTTCATCTTACGGTCCTAGAGCAGAACCATAGAGTGGCACTGAAGCATTAGATTCCCTGGGTGTCCCCTGCAGATGGGTTTTTGCGGGGGAGCAGGGTCGTTAATGAGTGCTCCAGGATTTATTATGGGAATTAGGCTTTACACAATTGTGGAAGGATCTGGGGAGAATAAGGGAGTTAGAGGGTATAGCTAGATGTGCAGCTGGAGTTCACTGGGCAGTGGGTGTCCGTCTGTCACAATACTGAACTGGGAGGCCCTTCAGAGAGTGGCTGCTGCTTCACTTCTGCCTGCAGAAGCAGTGCCTGTTCTGTTCAACTTTAAGTTAAAACCATGTAAAGAAGGGGATTCCGTCAAGCACAGCTCCCAGTTTAACTGAAGTGACATAGTACAAGCCCCATAGTCCCACCCCTTTGTCAACATGACATCTGCCTACACCCCGATAAACATATTTAGCTTACAAATAAAGACAGCAGTGAAATTATACTTCACTTAACAGGATGTAACTATCCCCCTTTGACTCTTTTTAAAAAAGATAGTCTGCTTTCTTCATCTTAGGGTAATGGTCATTCTTTCTAGCTATTTACTCTCCTTTTGAGATCCTGTAACTTAAATACTCAGACATAAGGAAAAACACTCTTTACACATGTTAGATTAATTGTTCTCATCTGGAAGTGATTTTGCTCCCAGAGGACTTTTGGTGATACCTGGAGACATTTTTGGCTGTCACAGCTGGGAGAAGGAGAGGGGTGATACTATTGACATTTGGTGGATGGAGGCCACTTCAGTGTAGGGAGCAGGCCCCTAACAAAAGGAGTGTCTGGTGCTAACAGTCATTAGTACTGAGGATCCTTTTTAGTAGAGATGGGGTCTTGCTTTTGCTCAGGCTGGTCTTGAACTCCTAAGCTCAAGCAATCCACCCACCTTGGCCTCCCAGAGTGCTAGCATTACAGGTGTGAGCCACTGTGCCTGGCTACTTGAGTATTTTAAAGACAACTATTAGATTATAGCATGTTGGTACCATTCTACAAATTCTGTTGTAATCTTTACATTTATCATGAAGCCTAATTGCATTTTATGTTCTAAGAACAAAAGAACTGCTGACCTTTTATGTAGGAACTAGTACATTTATATCATATAAAATTATTCTTTATATTTCTGGTATATAATTCTAGATAAACAGGAAAGGTATTAATCTGTTTAGAAGAAGGCGTTGTTGTTATTGCACTTTTGGTTTCATGGTTTAGTCTAACTCTTATAATTTGCTCCACCTTGGAAAAGTTTCATCTGATTTTTGTTAAAAATGTGACATGTGTAACTCTTAAAAAGAGGCTTAACTGTCTAGAAGGGCAAAAATAGAATAGAAATATAGAGATGAAAATATAGTTCAGTAAAATAAGGCTGGATTACTGAGAGCTGGAAAGAAAGAAAATGTTGAGACAGATGAGAACTCAAGCTGGGAAGAAAATCCAAGCATAAGAACAAGACGTTGCTGGCTGCTTACTCTGTACAGAGACGGGAAGTAGAGTATGGTGGCAAATGGTATTAGATAAAGTCATTTAGGAAATATGGTGGCAAATTTGCTAAACTTGGCAGGGTGAAGCTAAATCACATGCAGATGATAATCACAAAATAATATTTGTGGGACATCACAGCAACCTAACATTAGCCATCTCTCAGTCATAAGAGCAAGCCTTGACTGTAGAGTGTGCTCTCAGTATATATGAATTAAACAAATGGAAGTTTTAAAGTAACCTTAGTAGGGGGGAGGGAGAGGGGAGGGGGGAATGGGTGGAGGGAGGTGGATTGGAGGGATCACTTCTGAGGTTTATCTTACAAGGGTACAAGTGAATCTTTCTAAGAGCAGAATGTGAATGTTTTAAAATAATAACTAAGAAAATGACACGAAGGCTATGTTAACCAGTTTGATGGAAGTGTTTCAGATTGTGTGTGAAAACCCCACACTGTACCCCAGAAGTGCATTAATGTACATAGTTACCATTCAATTAAAAAAAAAAAAGAGTTGCAAAATTAAAAGAAAAAAAATAAATAAAGTAACCTTCGTTACAAAGTAGGTATTGATCAGGAAGGACAAATTTGTTGGTAGGTAGGTTGTAATTGGAATTGAGCAGGATTAATGTCTATAAAAAATGGAAGAGTAACAGGGCAGTTACTCAGATAAAACAAGTTGTCTGCAATACAGAAGAAGCCAATTGGTGGAGACCATCAGAACAAAGTTTGCTTCTTCAAGCAACAAATTGTTAAGAAGCTTCTCCTAGGCTTGGCGCCTGTGGCTCAGGTGGCTAGGGCGCCAACCACATACACCTAAAGTGGCGGGTTCGAATCCAGCCCAGGCCTGCCAAACAACAACAATGGCTGCAACCAAAAAAATAGCCAGGCACTGTGGCAGGCATCTGTGGTCACAGCTACTTGGGAGGCAGAGGCAGGAGACTTGCTTGAGCCCAGGAGTTGGAGGTTGCTATGAGCTATGATGCCACGGCACTCTACCCAGGGAGACAGCTTGAGGCTCTGTCTCAAAAAAAAATAAAAAAAAGAAGCTTCTCCTAGTTTCTAATAAAATAGGTGGGGGTGTATGTGTATGCATAGCCTTTTACATATCCTTGCTAGTTCAATCATTGTTATCTCTAAAGTATAAATTCAAAGTAACATCCTCCTGCAGACCACTACCCTCTAAGTCTCTAGCTGCTGCCTAAATGCTGATAAATTTATTTTGCTGATAACTGCATTGGATTTTCTCTTTTAGAACAAAGTCCATTTCTGGCCAGGTGAGGTGACTCACACCTTTAATCTCAGCACTTTGGGAGGCAGAGGCAGGAGGATCACCTGAGCTGAGGAGTTCAAAACCAGCCTGGGCAACATAGCAAGGCCTTATCTCAAAAAAAAAAAAAGTTAAGGCTCAACACCTGTGGCTCAAGTGGCTAAGGCACCAGCCACATACACCTGAGCTGGCAGGTTCGAATCCAGCCCAGGCCCGCCAAACAACCATTAGGGCTGCAACCAAAAAAATAGCTGGCATTGTGGCAGGGGCCTGTAGTCCCAACTACTTGGAAGGCGGAGGCAGGAGAATCACTTGAGCCAGGAGTTGGAGGTTGCTGTGAGCTGTAATGCCATGACACTCTACCCAGGACAATAGCTTGAGGCTCTGTCTCAAAAAAAAAAAAAAAAGTTAACTGAGTATCATAGCATACACCTATAGTCCCAGCTATTTGGGAGGCTAAGGCAGGAGGATCACTAGAGCCCAGGAGTTCCAGGTCACATTGAGCCCTGATCTCGTCACTGGGTGATAGAGTGAAACCCTTTCTCTTTAAAACAGTGGTTCTCAACCTTTCTAATGCCGCAGCCCTTTAATACAGTTCCTGTGGGTCATAACCCATAGGTTGAGAACTGCTGCTTTAAAAGAAAAAAAAAAGTCCATTTCTGTTTTTTTTTTTTTCTTTTCTATCATCTGTTTTTCCCCTCTTGACCTAGTATGCTCCTTTGCACTTTATACTAGTCATTGTTCTTTTATTTTGCACTAGGGAGAGGAAATTCAATGTCAGTATGTTGTGACATGTGCAGGACTTTACTCAGACCGGATTTCAGAGATGAGTGGCTGCAGCCCTGATCCTCAGATTGTACCATTCCGGGGAGATTATCTGCTCTTGAAGCCAGAAAAATGCTATCTTGTAAAAGGAAATATTTATCCGGTGGGTAACGATGCATCTGCCTTCTCACTCTTCTTGAGCTGGTTACGGGGAATGAAAACAAAAACTTTTACCTGGGTAAAAGAGACATTTGGAAGGGCTGTTTGTGTAAGCATTTCACCTGTTTCTCTTGTATTTATATTCCTAAATCTTTATCTTGGTATCATAGTTATTGTAATGGATTGCCCACAAGCACCTATCTCCAGAATGCATGTGTGCACCATGGGAAGTACTAAGGTTTCTTACCCAGATTCTCCCTCCTCTCCCGTGGAGGGAGCACTCATAGGAACACTTTCCCTATGGGGTCCCAAATACACTACCCTCCTTCTCAGATCACTGTCTATAGCTGTAGAAAAGGGATGTGGCCACTCTGTAGTTTCAGGGAGTAGGAAATAGGTTTAAATGAAGAATTCATTTTTCTGTCTGGAATTACCCCCAAAATAGACATATTAGGTTGAGCCAGGGACATAGTCATTATTCGGCTATTTAATGTTTTTTGTTGTTCTAAAACATGAATTTCATTGTTTCAGCCTCATACATTACCATTTTGCAAAAGCCTATGTTATAAATATGTGGGGTTTTTTTAATGGCAGTCACAGCTGTCTCTTATAGGAGAGAGAGTAACCTGAAGTAGGACAGTTCATCTTTACTGTGTCATTGGCCACTTAGATGATAGTGTGTGTTGATGTCTACGGCATCAGTGTTTCTTGTGTGCCATTTCTAAGCAGAAACATGTTACTAGAAAAGTATATCTGTGTGTAGCTCACAGTGCAAATTAAATGCATGGGAAGGAAGTGTTTTACATTACCAATTAAATGTTTGCATCTGTAATGAAATGAAATGTGAGATGGGGCTAATAGTTCCTTGCTTTGTTAAATCCATAGGTCCCAGATAGCCGGTTTCCTTTCCTAGGAGTTCACTTCACACCAAAAATGGATGGCAATATTTGGCTGGGGCCTAATGCAGTTCTTGCCTTTAAGAGGGAGGGTTACAGACCCTTTGACTTCAATGCCAGAGATGTTATGGATATAATTATAAATAGGTAACAACTTTATTTCTTTAAGAAAATGATCTTGTGTGCTTATTAACATTTTTATTTAAATTTTGGTCCTCCCCCTCCCCTAAAAAAAATTCAGCTCCTGAAACATGTATTTTTTTTAGTTTTAGTTTTAGTTTTTTGAGATAGGTTCTCCCTCTGTCACCCAGGGTAGAGTGTAGTGGCATCATCATAGCTCACTGCCACCTCAAACTCTTGGGCTCAAGCAGTCCTCCTACCTCAGCCTCTTGAGTAACTGAGATTACAAGCACTTTCCACCATGCGCGACTAATTTTTTTGTGGGGAAGAGATTTTGCTCTTGCTCAGGGTGGTCTTGAATTCCTGGCCTCAAGCAGTATCCCTCCTTTGGCCTCCAAAGTGCTAGGATTATAGGCATGAGCCACCAGGCCCAGTTTTGCATGTGGGAAATTTTGTCTTTCTTGGTATGATACTTATTGGGTAAATCCTCATATTTGTGATTGGCATATTGAGTTTTTATTAATCCAAATTTTTTTGTTTTTTAATGAAAACCAAAAACCCACTAGACAAATTCTAAAAGAGCTGAAATACTATTAAGTCAAATTAAGTGCTATGTGGAATAAGCATAATGTTTTAACTACTTCAAGAAAGTTTTGATGAGCCAGGGCAATGTTTTGGATAAAAAGACCCATTCACACGTCTGGGAATCCAAATCCTATGTTGTTAACCTGAGTTTGAAAAAAAGAAGAAATTCTCTCAAAATTAGTAGAAGGCTTTGATAATTTCAAACCAGTCACCATCATTTTCTAAGCCACTGGAGAAATTACTGATAACTGATTTTTTTTTTTTGAAGAAAACTAATAGGATGATTGTGCTGACCTAGGATGCAGATTCTTTACTATTGTAAAAAACAAAAACAAAAAATGATGTTTTGTTTGGTTCTTTTAGCAATGTTTCTCTCTAGGGGGTTTCATGTCAAAATCATTAGATTGCTTTTTAAGCTATACGTGGGTTTCATCCTCCATAGATTCTGAAACAGGAAGTTTGGCATGGGACTTCCCAATATGAGTACATGCAAAATTACATACATACGGTTTACAGAGTTTCACTTAAGACTCACAACTAGGCTTGGCACCTGTAGCTCAAGCGGTTAGGGCACCAGCCACATACACTAGAGCTGGCGGGTTTGAATCCAGCCTGGGCCTGCCAAACAACAATGACAGCTACAACCAAAAAATGGCTGGGAGTTGTGGCAGGTGCTTGTAGTCCCAGCTATTTGGAAGTCTAAGGCAAGAGAATTGCCTGGGTCCAGTTGGAGGTGGTTGTGAGCTGTAACGCCACGGCACTCTACTACCCAGGGTGACACCTTGAGGTTCTGTCTCAAAAAAAAGACTCACAACTAAATATCTTTCCTTTGACTGATTAAAGAAAAGTGGGGTAGATTTAAATATCTATTAATGCCCCCAGCAACTCAGGAGGCTGGGATAGGAGGATCACTTGAGACCAGCCTGGGCCGCATAGCAAGATCTGTGTCTAGAAAAATAAGAAAAATTAGCCAGATGTGGTTGTGTGTGCCTGTAGTCCCAGCTACTTGGCAGGTTAAAGCAGAAAGATCCCTTGGGCCTAAGAAGTTGAGGCTGCAGTGAGCTGTTACTGGTCCAGTGCACTCCAGCCTGGGAGACAGTGGAGGACCCCATCTCTTAAAAAAAAAAGAAAGAAAGAAAAAAGAAAGGTCTGTTAATACCTTTTTAGGTGTGTTGAAATCATGTAATATTTGCATTAGAAAATCTTGGCTATGGGCCTATAATTCTAGCACTCTGGGAGGCCTACACAGGTGGATTGGCTGAGCTGGTGTTCAAGACTAGCCCCTTCTACCACCCCAAGAAAAGAGCCTGGCATTGTGGCAGGTGCCTATAGGCCCAGCTACTTGGGAGGCTGAGGCAAGAGGATCTCTTGAGCCTAAGAGTTTTGAGGTTGCTGCAAGCTATGATGCCATGGCACTCTACCTAGGGTGAGTAAGTGAGACTCTGTTTCAAAAAAAAAAACTTTGATGTTGGCAGGCTTTATAGACTCCCAGTCTGGAACCAGCATTCCTTGGGATTTGGAGTTTGGAAGGTATGTTTACCTCTTGAGTTGGTGATGTTTCCTTCTGATAATGGTCAGAAGTTGATTTGCTTTTAATTTGTACTTTTTATGACTTTGACTTTTTGATTTTTGCCCTCAAAGAGCATTCCAAAGTTATAAAGGTGTTCTAAGTAATGAAGAATCCTTTCTCTAATAAAAATGTTTGTCTCTGTTTTCAGTGGCCTGATTAAACTGGCATCCCAGAATTTCTCATATGGAGTTAATGAAATGTATAAAGCCTGTTTTCTTGGAGCAACAGTGAAGTATCTTCAAAAGTTCATCCCTGAAATTACTGTCAGTGATATACTTAGGTAAGGAAAAGTGATAAAAATTGTAAATACAGTTCTTATCTAGGTAAACTTGAGAGGTAAGTCTGACTCAGTGATTACTTATGTACGTTTTTTTTTCTTTCGAGACAGTCTTACTCTGTCATCCTGGGTAGAGTGCCATGGCATCATAGCTTACAGACTTTCAAAGTCCTAGACTCAAGCGATCCTCTTGTCTCCACCTCCGAAGTAGCTGGGACTACAGGTGCCCACTACAGCACCCAGCTCATTTTTAGTAGAGATAGGGATCACACTCTTGCTCAGGCTGGTCTTGAACTCCTGAGCTCAAGCAGTCCTCCTGCCTTGGCCCCCTAGAGTGCTAAAATTATAAGCGTGAACCACTGTGCCTAGCTACTAAGTACATTTTGAGTCAATCTCTCTTTCTCCCCAAAAGGGCATTGCTAGATTATAGCCCTTAGTGCTGGCCCATTCATAATTATCTAGAACACCTTACACCTCCAAACTGAAATAGCCATTGCAACTTTATTGTGATGCCACCTTAGCTTTTTTTTTTTTTTTTTTGAGACAGAGCCTCAAGCTATTCCCCTGGGTAGAGTGCCGTGGCATTACAGCTCACAGCAACCTTCAACTCCTGGGCTCAAGCGAGTCTCCTGCCTCCGCCTCCCAAGTAGCTGGGACCACAGGCGCCCGCCACAACGCCCGGCTATTTTTTGGTTGCAGCCGTCATTGTTGTTTGGCGGGTCTGGGCTTGGGATTCGAACCCGCCACGTTAGGTGTACATGGCTGGTGCCTTAGCCGGTTGAGCTATAGGCGCCGAGCCCCACCTTAGCTTTTGTGTCCAGCTGTCATAATAACGTTTTTCCTGAATTTTAAAAAATGTCCCTTGCTCTGGGAGGCTGAGGTGGATGGACTGGTTAAGCTCAGGAATTCAAGAACAGCCTGAACAAGAGCAAGACCCCATGTTTACTAAAAATAGAAGAACTAGCTAGGTGTTGTGGTGGGCACCTATAGTCACAGCTACTTGGGAGACTGAGGCAAGAGGATTACTTGAGCCCAGGAGTTTGAGGTTGCTGTGAGCTACAATGACACCATGGCACTCTACTTCACTCAGGGACTCTAGTTAGGGACAAAAAGAGGGAGGCAGTGTGTAATAATCAAAGTCCTTGCTACAGGGTATGGGATGATGTAAGGGTAAATTTACATCTTTTTTCTTAGAGATAAAAGACTTTCTGGGTTTGATCTGTAGATTAACCTAAATACCACCCAAGCCTTATTTTTTTTCCCTCTTTGATAATATTTTTAGTGTTCACCTTTTCCATTAGCAAGCCAGTTGTTAAGATTAATCAGTAGTGTACTTTGAGGTACTCACTCTGCATTTACAATCCATCCCCCCATGAGTCCTCAGAGCATTAAATGTCTGCCTTCTCCGTAACAGCTGCTCGACTAGCCTGGTGTAAAGTGTCAGCAGGCTTGACCATATCTGGGAAGAGAGCAGTAATCATGTCAGCTGTTTCCCTTAGGGGAGCGTCCTGGTTTAATTCTGACTCTAATGTATCATTCTGAGACTAGCCTCTTTGAATCTTTAGAAGAACTATTAAAACCCAGCTAATGTTTTTCCTGTTATCTCCTTCATTCCTGTACTTACCTTCTGAAATGGAAGGGATAAAAATATCTAGATGTTATATTCCTTCATCACTTATAAATAAATAAAGGCTTTTATGTTTTCAGTGGTCTACTTCAGTAGACTTTGATGTACATCTGAAAATAGATTGGTCAAATCTGGTTTCTATTGATGCTATTAATATTCCTTGGAAAACACACTAGGTGGGTATAGTGAATTCACTGCTTGTATTCAATCACCACCTTTTTACAGAAGCCTGAGGAAAGCTTTTTGACAATTGGATTTTATATGGTATAACTGGACTTTGGGCTTATGGGCATTGTTAACCACTGTCTCTGGGCTTAAGGGTATGACTTACAGTTACCAGTTTCACTGGCATGTATCAGAAAGGGCACAGCACTGTAGGCAGGTGCATTTGGGGACAAATTCCACCTAAGCACAGATGAGTTTCTCTTTAGAGACAGAGAACCTGAGTACATTCAGCAATTCCATTTGTTCCTTTCTCTTTTTCTTTTTTTTTGAGACAGAGCCTCAAGCTGTCCCCCTGGGTAGAGTGCTGTGGCATCATAGCTCACAGCAGTCTCCAACTCCTGGGCTCAAGTGAGTCTCCTGCCTCAGCCTCCCAAGGAGCTGGGACCACAGGCACTCGCTACAACACCTGGCTATTTTTTGGTTGCAGCCATCATTGTTGTTTGGCGGGCTCGGGCTGGATTCGAACCCCCCACCTTAGCTGTATGTGGCTGGTGCCTTAGCCATTTGAGCCACCGGCACCAAGCCTTGTTCCTTTCTCGATTCCTGTAGCTGTTAAATGCAGGGAATTATCAATAACAGAAGGGAAGTTTAAGATGTTTTTATTTGGGGGGAATATGTTTGAACCATTTATATAAGTTTAAAAACAAGCATGATGATACTAAATTTTTCTTTGAGACAGAGTCTCGCTATGTTGCCCTTGGTAGAGTGTTGTGGTGTCACAGCTCATAGCAATCTCAACTCTTGGGCATAAGAGATTCTCTTGCCTCATTCTCCCAAGTAGCTGGAACTACAGGTGCCTGCCACAACGCCCGGGTATTTTTTTGGTGCAGTTGTCATTGTTGTTTAGCTGGCCAGGGCCGGGTTTGAACCTACCACCCTCCATGCATGTGGCTGGCACCATAACCACTGTGTTACGGGTGCTGAACCAATACCAAATATTGTTTATAGTTTGTACATGTAATGTGAAAATAAAAATAAGCAGGGGAGTGAAAAACATCTCATTCAGGACAGTGGTTATCTGTAGGGAAGGAAGGGAGCAGGATTCTGAGAGTTCTGCAGGGACTTCTGTCTTATGGGTAATGCTTTATTTCTTAAACTGTTTGGTAAGAAGATGAGTGCTCAGTATATTATTTTCTATACTTTGTTATATTAAATAATAATAAGAAGAAAATCAATAAACTTGTCTACAACTTGGAGCCTTAGTCCTGTCTTGTCTCATTCACCTTGTAACCAGTGTATTAAAAGCATAAATGTCCTGTCATTAATATTGCAGCAGAAGCATAGCAAGCAATTCTAGATTGTAAAAGTAATTGAAGTAATGCTTTCAGTGGGGTATGCTGCTCACAATGGTGTCCGTAAGTTCCATTAACCACAAAATGACATCTAGTTTGACTTCTCTGCTAGGCCAGAGCATTTTGGGCAATAATTTGCTGGCGAACATTAGATTAGAATGTAAAGTTATCATCTGTAAAGTGTATATATTAGCATATTAACTTTTCACTGTTAATTGATGGTCTCTAAGGCTGTTAATTTTAGTTCTACACTCCTTTAATTCTGTGATTAATTTTGGCATGTCAGTCTAACAGTGGTTTGTGTCTGTTAGCACTGTTAGGAGATAGAAGATGAATACATGGGTGTCACAGTCTCCTCCCTTTTGCCCATACTTCATTTTGGGAAATATCTTCTTTGGGGAATTCTAGAGTAAACTTTCAAGCAAGATGTTTTCAGGCAGTGCCTGTAGCTCAGTGGGTGGGGTGCCAGCCACATACACTGGAGCTGGTGGGTTTGAACCCGGTCCAGGCCAGCTAAACAATGACAACTGCAACAACAAAAAAATAGCTGGGTGTTGTGGCCGGCACCTATAGTCCCAGCTACTCGGGAGGCTGAGGCAAGAGAATCACTTAAGCCCAAGAATTTGAGGTTTCTGTGAGCTGTGATGCAACGGCACTCTACCAAGGGCAACATAGTAAGACTCTGTCTTAAAAAAGATGTTTTCATAACTAGTGATAACTAGACTATGTCATTGTGAAATGCAAAGGGGAAAGCCAAATATTTCTCCCATAAAAATGGGTTAAGATGGTCTATCTTTCTCAGACTTGGTGCTGTTGACATTTTGGGCTAAATAATTGTTTGTTGTGGGGGACTGTCCATTTCATTGCAGGTTTTTTAACAGGATCCCTGGCATCTACACATTCTAGTTGTAACACCAAAAATGTCTCCAGACATTGCTGAATGTCCTCTCAGGGGCAAAATCTCCCTTGGTGGAGAACGCTTCTCTAGAGAATTGGTAACCCTTACACTACCAAATACAGTGGAACCTCTGTAAGTTGACCACCCCAGGGACTATAGCAAACTGGTCAATATGCAGAGGTGCTCAACATAGTCCATCTTTTATTGACAGCTAGGCTTCCTGGAACGATGTGCATGTAGTGCATGTCCAGTCTATGAAAATTAGGTCAACTTGAGGAGAGGTGGTCAGTGTAGGGAGGTGGTTGACCAAGGGGGTTCTACTGTAATTATTATAACTAAATACTTACTATGTGCCAAGAACCATTCTAAGTGCTTTACGCATGTTTATGTATTTAATTCTCACAGTAACCATTGGGGGGTAAGAAGACTGTTACTCCCACTTTACTTATAAGGCAAATAAGTCACAGAGATGTTAAGTAACTTGCCACAAGGTTCCAAAGCTTACAGGTGTGTAGTGAAGGTAGTATTCAAACCCAGGGAGTGTATTTATTTGATAAGCATTTGTTGCAGTGTTGTTAGCCTAATGATAGAAGGTTTGACAGGCTACAGCTGACAGTCTGGTTATCCACAAACGTATTGTGTTTCCAGTGATATTCACTTAGAAGAATAAAGACGTGCTTTGAGAGTACTTGGAAAGTGACACATGTCTTCCAGTCGGTTGACTCTCACTCTCACTTTTGCAGAGGTCCAGCAGGAGTAAGAGCCCAAGCTCTGGATAGAGCTGGAAATCTGGTAGAAGATTTTGTATTTGATGGAGGAGTTGGGGATCTTGGAAACCGCATTCTTCACGTGAGAAACGCACCTTCCCCTGCTGCCACTTCTTCCATCGCAATTTCTGAAATGATTGCAGACGAAGTACAACAGAGATTCGAACTGTAAATAATGAGAGAAACTAGTTGTTCAGTGTAGTCTCCATGTCAGCAACAAGAATGTACTAATTGCATTCTTCAATTTAAAAAATAAAGTTTTTAGGCTGGGTGAGGTGGCTCACACCTGTAATCCTAGCATTCTGGCAGGTGGATCACTTTAGCTCAGGAGTTCAAGACCAACCTGAGCAAGAGTGAGGTCTAAAAATGGAGAAAAACTAGGCATTATGGTGGGCACCTGTAGTCCCATCTACTCAAGAGGCTGAGGCAAGAGGATGGCTTGAGCCCAAGAGTTTGAGGTTGCTGTGAGTTAAGATGTCACAGCACTCTGTCCAGGGCAAAAGAGTGAGACTGTCTCGAAAAACAAACAAAAACAGCAAAGCAGTATTTAAAATCTCATTTTTAGGTCAGAGATAACCACTGAATTGTTAAAATGATGTAATAGAGTAGTAATGTTTTTTTAAAAATTAAAGCCCATGCTTTTGTGAATAAAGAGGCAAGCTGCAGTCGTATCTGTCCTGACTCCCTCGTGCTGTTAATGACCTGTCCTCACCAACATGATCTGTGGTTTGACCGTGATCATGGTTTGACTTTCTTAGAATTTGGGGACAGATGGCATAAAATATTGGTCATGCTTTAAATGAACGTTTTGGCTTTATAATATCTACACTTTTTGTCTCTTCTAGAAAAGAACATATAGTATAAGTTCTTTTAATTTTGAAGACTCATAGAAAAGCTCACAGGAGAGCAACAGTATTTATATTTGGAAATTAAAAATTCTTGATTTCAAGGAAATACATGAAATTTCACATTTTCAAGTAGTTTGAGTAAGATTCTATCTTAGCTATAATATTTATAAAAAATGACGTTGTAAAACAAAGTCAAACCTCTGTTGTTCTCAGTCTCTTTGTAATTGATGTGGTGTGGTGTCATCACTAAATCTAGACAGCAGATTAATTACCACAGGTGGTTGTTGCCTTCTCTTTAGTCGTCTGTGGTTGAGAAACTAAGAGAACTTAGAACTGATAGGTTTTTATGAGAGCAGTTTTAGAATCCTGATACTAAAACATAGAACTCTGTAATTTTAGAAAGTTATTTATTTATTATATCTCCGTTCTTTAGTCACACTGGAGTTCTCAGAATGTTGGCCAAGATCACTAACGATTCATACCTCCTTGGTTTTTCAGGGTTCCTATAAACTTTTATATGGATACACATATCTAACTTCGAGGCATTCACTTTTGTAAACCGCGAAAGTGCCTTATATTTATATGTAATTCATAAAAATTTTGAGTTGGTTTCCAGTGCCATAGGCCATATTATACACTATATATGTGGTATCTGTTGAGTTGATTCTTATAATTTAGAAAGTTGGAAAATAGAAATGTGAATGAAATTATGATGACCTGATAGGAGAACTTTGATCACAGAACTGTGTTTAGATGAGGCATTTTCTTTTTTTTTTTTTTTTCTTTGCAGTTTTTGGCCAGGGCTGGGTTTTGAACCCACCACCTCCAGCATATGGGGCCAGCGCCCTACTCCTTTGAGCCATAGGAGCTGCCCTAGATGAGGCATTTTCATCCATCTCGCTCACATGCTCTCTCAGTATCCATCTTCTGCTCTTCATTTTTTCTTTCCTATTATTTCTCCAGAGCTGTGTGATAGATGAGTGAGAAGGACGTGCATTTTGCTTGACAGAAAAACTTTTGTTTTCTTTCTTTTCCCTTCAAGTGTTGGCGATTACATTGATTGAGCTACCTCATCCATTAATTTGAAAGTCTGCCATCATCAGCTCATGTCCACAGTACACATCCCAGGTTAATAGAGTAGGCAATTATTAAACAGTTGGGGTGAGCGTATGGAAAGCATTCAGAAATCAGAAGAAGTAGGCCTAATGGTTCTTTATACAGCTGATTCCTACAAGAAATGCAATGGACAGATTACTTTTCTGTTCAATTATATGACTGCTAAGAGATGGGAAGTATTGTAATTCTCTATTTCAACAGTACTATTATGTATATATTAAGCTGTGAAAATCTGAAATTTCAAAAATAACTATCCTAATTGAAGCAATTTCATTCCATTCAAGTCTGTGCTATACCAACCCCAAAATACAAGTAAAAAATTGGTTGAACATGTTCTGATATATAGATTGTATTAATAAACATTTATGTCCATAAGGTTTTGTTGTTTAATAGTGATATAATAATTAAAAGCTTTGTGTATTTTTGAGAGAAGAAAATGTTATATTAAAGATAATTCAATGACTTTTGTTATGAAGAACATTTTTAGTTCTGTAAACATTTTTACTCAAATAAATTTTCTGTGTGTGAGACATGAACTGTTTTCTTTAGATCACAGCCAATCTTAAAAAAAAAAACAAAAACAAACCACACCCAGGCACCCTGGCTCACGCCTGTAGTCCTAGCACCTTGGGAGGCTGCGGCTAGTGGACTGCTTGAGCTCAGGAGTTCAGGATCATCATGAGCAAGAGCAAGACCCCGACTCTACTAAAACAGAAAAAACAAGCCTGACGTCGTGGCAGGCTCTTGTACTCCCAGCTACTTGAGAGGCCAAGGTAAGACGATCACTTGAGCCCAGGAGTTTGAGGTTGCTGTGAGCTATGACGCCATGGTGCTGTCTCAAAAACCACTTCTCTATTTGTACGTAATCGAATAATGAAGTAGATTAGTTCATATTTTGAGTAAAAAAGTGGATCATTTACATTTTTGGTGTTTCATGATATGTAACTTTTTTATCATCCATACATACATATTGAAGTTCTTCCTTGATGTTCAGAGTTTGCAGTATTTGGGGAGTTGCCTTTATTGTTGGCAGAGGCCGTTTGCAAAATCTGCGTACTAGCCAGTAGGATAAACTCTCAGAACTTTCTTAAAAGGATGGTGGTGAGGTATATGCTGCCGGGTCCTGGCACATGGGAGTTTGTCAGACCTGCATTTGGATGCTGTCCAACCCTGGTGGCTGTGCTTGTGAGTTGTCCCAGTAAACATAGGAGACACGGTGTCTATATTGCTTCAGGACTATCTCTGCCCTCCTGGGCCCTTCATCTGTGTTTAGACTTCTTGGTCTGATGTTTCCTCATCTTTGTGACCATATGCTATTTATTATCTAAGTATCTTGTAAACGGTTTTGAGGACAATTGTGAAATCAGTTACTAATTTTTCTAATACACTAATAGGGAGGTTTTTAAAATTTTATTTTTATGTTTTTATTATTTTTTCATTTTTTGAGACAGAGTCTCACTTGTTGCCTTCGGTAGAGTACCGTGGCATCACAGGTCATAGAAACCTCAAATTCTTGGGCTCAAACAATTGATTCTCTTGTCTCAGCCTCCTGAGCAACTGGGACTACAGGCGCTCACCACAATGCCCAGCTATTTTTAGAGATGGGGTCTTGCTCAGGCTGGTCTCATACTTTTGAGCTCAGGCAATCCACTGGCCTTGGCGTCCCAGAGTGCTTCCATTATAGGTGTGAGCAACTGCACTTGGGCCATAATGGGGAGGTTTTGAAATTCTTCATCAGGATTTAAAGAAGGAAGGGTGTTTGTAAGGACAGGGTGAAGTGGTTGGGAGAGCAAAAGATATCTAGAGATGTTTTCAAATAGTTTATACTCATTAGAGAGTTTAAGGAAAGTAAAAAACCTCAAAGCCTAAAGGGAAGAACAATGTTGACACCAACCAACACTACTTTTCTGGCCTCAAATTTTAGAAATGATTGTGTTCTTTTTGTTAAGTTCTATAATCTTCTACTAAGGGAAGGGTCTAACATCAAAGTGTCTTTTGTTCCTTGGGTAAAATGAGAAATTTTACCTTTTAGATGTGGCAAAAGAGATGTGTAATGACATGCCTTGGGTTGCGCAGGGAGCCCAACCTTGAATTCAGGGAAGACCACAGGCACAGTGTTAACGGCGGGATCTCTCTCACTGGGGGATGCTGACTTTCAGCCAAGTTTTGCTTAAAGCTGTGTATTAAGAATAAACTCTTTTGGGCAGCGCCTGTGGCTCAGTGAGTAAGGCACCGGCCCTATATACCAAGAGTGGTGGGTTCAAACTCGGCCCCAGCTAAACTGCAACAAAAAAATGGCTGGGCGTTGTGGCGGGTGACTTTGGTCCCAGCTGCTTGGGCAGCTGAGGCAAGAGAACCGCCTAAGCCCAGGAGTTGGAGGTTGCTGTGAGCAGTGTGATGCCACAGCCTGAGGGTGATAAAATGAGACTCTGTCTCTAAAAAAAAAAAATAACCTCCTTTAGGGCAGCATCTGTGGTTCAGTGGGTAGAGTGTTGGCCCCCTATACCAAGGGTGGTGGGTTCAAACCTGGCACCGGCCAAAACTGCAACAACAACAACAAAAACATAGCTGGGCATTGTGGCAGGTGGCTGTAGTCCCAGCTACTCCAGAGGCTGAGGCAAGAGAATCACCTAAGCCCAGGAGTTGGAGGTTGCTGTGAGCTGTGACACCACAACACTATCGAGGGCGATAAAGTGAGACTCTGTCTCTAAAAAATAAATGAATAAATAAAAAGAATAACCGCTCTTAACTTTATTGTTCTGAAAGAGTGATGGAATACAATGAAAAGGTACAGTAATGGTTGTTTCTTTTATGCGTTCCAAGTTTATTTACTTCAATTTGGCCGCTGGGAATATAAGAGGTGTCCTCTAGGGATACCAGTTTATGAACGAGGGCAGTTTCTGGATATCTGAGTAGGGTTGGGCAGGCTTCCCAAACCACACTGGGCACCTACCACTGTTTCCCAAGGTGCCTAGATCTTTAGCCTTTGATTGCGTTGTTTTTTTTTTTTTTCTTAGATTCTAGATCAATCATTCCAGCTGGGACATTTACAGAGTTCTCATTGCCTGGATTCTTATGAACACTCAGAGCCAAGCATGTTGATCATGTTATAGACCAAAAGGAAAAGGTTGTCCAACTTTGTGTTTTGGAATTTGGGGATACAGAGATGCTTTTTTTCTTATTAAATCATAGCCATGTACATTGATGCAATCATGGGGTACAGTGTGGTGTTTTCACATACATTTTGAAATACTCTCATCAAACTGGTTAACGTACGCTTCATGTCATTTTCTTAGTTATTAAGACATTCATACTCTGCTTTTAGAAAGATTCGCTTGT